TAGAGGGGGAGGATGGGGTGGGGGGGTGCCAAAACACCCACCCCGGTGCAGGACCGTCCGATTAACGCCAGATAAAAGCCGAGTGCAGAGATTAACCCAGTAACTCTAATGGCTGCTTCTCCGAATGACGACTGAACGACACAGATGCTGTGACTGCATGACGACATCAGGCCATGCAGGTTATCAGCCATCCCGGGTGAGGATGGGGGGGCGGGTCCAGGTTCCCCACGCAATTCTGTGAAGGATGTGGGCCACCCTGCCGGGGGGGGGCGGGGATCGCGTCTCGGCCTGTAAATCGAAGTAGCTTAGCGGGTATTAGCTGAGCCGCGCTGGGTGACAAAGGCGAGGGCCACTGTTTGGTTCCCACGCCGACACGTACTGGGCCACGCCACAGTGGGACAGGCCTGGCGTACAGATTCGCCAAATGGCACCATAGCGGGTCGGTGGTACCAAACTCAGCTGACCCAGGCCTCCCCCGACCCGGTGGGCTGTGTGACAGGCTGGACCCGGCCAGCAGCCGGGACTCCGTCTGGCCCGCTCGGCCGATCTCCCCGTCTGGCCCGCCTCCCTATCCTTTGGGCGATTGCCGCAGCCTTCGTTAGCCGCGTGCTAATTAGCACTCTGCCGGGGGTGGGGGGGCTGGAGTGGAGGCATGCCTGGCCTAGTGATGGTGCCACTTGGCCGTCCTATGCCCTGCCTTCTCTCTGTCCCTGCAGAATATCTGGCCCTTGGAGGGGGGGTATGCAGGCTGGAGGCCTGTGCTCATACATTAATTTAATTATGGAGTCTCCTATCTGCAGGACCTTTATACTTCATCTGAACAGACTGGCAGCAACTGACTGTGGCCAGCAGGGGGCGAAGTGGTGGAGGGGAATTTTGAAAACCAACAACAATAATAATAACAATAATAACAACAATAACGGCAGCACTAGTGAAGGCCGCCAGCCTCCTCCATGCACCATCAGGTAACGCTCACTGGTTACAGCATGCTGGAGCCTCAGGGCTCCTTTGGCGACAGGCTCAGCAGTACAGGTCTATGCCAGCTGGGGGGGGGGGGAGGGTGGAGGCGTGGCTGTGCCAGTGGGCCTCCTTGGCAGTACCACCTCCTCATGCCAGCCATAAATGAGATTGGCATGCGCCACCTCTGGTGTGCCTCTCATTATGGCCCACCGCCCGTCCCCCCGCTGCATCGTGGGATACCCAGGAGCACAGGGCAAGCAGGCAGCCAATGTGCCGGCTTTGCTGCGTCCCGCAAGGAAGCCGAATCTGCGCGACCACATGGGCGGGACCGACAAATCACACAGAGCCGAGCCGGGCGGTGCTGTGCAGGTCACCCAAATCAGCGATCAGGGCCCCCCAGCCCTAGAGTCGCCCTGGGCGAGGGAGGGAGGCTGTTCTTCTTGCCCCGACCCCACCAGTACGGCCCTGTCTCATGTCAGGAGGCAGCACATGAACACGCAGGGCAGAGCGGAGTCCACAATAGTCCCATCGCTCCGGCGTTGCGGTTTCACACATTTCCCCGGCAAATAGCAGCAAATTATCCAGGGAGAAAATCTGTACGGAGCACCGTGAGTTAGGAACAAAGCCGGTGGTCGGCGAGATGCCCGCAGGATCCTTCTAGAACAACTGCATGGTGAGTGTTACCATGACTGGCCGCCTCAGCATGGGAAGCCCCATCGGCGACGACTGGAAAGGGGCATTCGGTGTGGGCTAATCAGCCTCCTGAGAAAGTCCTGCCCGTGTGTGTGTATGGGCGCCGATGTGCCCGAGCCTGTTACACACGCTGTTACATCGCCATGTGCTGCGCTTGGCTGCAGCCCAAGTGGCGGGGGTGCAAACGCACGCATCACTGTGCCTTTGTGAGCGGACGCAGCGTCTCACGGTAACGCGCATGGCAATATCTCGTCATTTGGCCCCACACAGACCCTCATGCATCCACACAAAAGGCCTGTCTTCATCGGAATATTTTTTAAAAGGCCACATAAAATTCAGGGTTTTTATTGGCTGTGGAGAGAGTGTAAAAAACGCAGCTGGACGGAGTCTCCGGCTCGCCAAGACCGCGGCCCAGCCCCCAGACCCCGGTGAGCTTACACGTACAAATGGTCCCTTTCTCCACACGGGGGGCTCGTTGTGCGAGCAGCTGAATCTCCCCTCACTGTGAAACCTGATTTGATGTGATTAAACTTCACACTTGTTCTACGTAACGCATCATGTATTTAATCAAATCAGAATCAATAGCGAGCGGCCCTTAACTTAAACAGAAAGCCTGGTATCGCGTTACGTTCACAAACTGGGCAGAGAGAACAGGGCAATATGGCAGCCTGCCTTACTAATCAGAAATTAAACACATTTCAGATCAGTGCAGATATATGAAATGATACAGTTATTTGACCACTCAGCCATTAAGTGACCCGGTGTTAAAGGAATCGATGTGCTTCACCATTGGGATATGAATTGTGATCAAACACACCAGCGAATCCAAACTTAAGTGCACCCCATTCCGAAGCTCAATATTAATTGGCCTCACCGTGACAGTGAAGATGTGACCAGCTGCCTAATGACTGAACCCCCCCTCCCCCCTGGAAGGACACCCCTGAAATGAATACATTGCAACAGGCAATAGACCCTACTGCCACCAACCAAACAGTAGATCTTCGCAGTCATAGAGCGAGAAAGAGAGACAGAGGTCATGACCCAAACGTGGATGGCTACCTGAAGCACAAACAGAATTCTGGGTAACCTGAGATGTGACCTTTGGCAGGGAGCAGAGTAAGATGCCCTGACTCGCTATCTGATAACGGCTGCCTGCCAACATTCAGGACAAGCCCAGACGGGGAAATGTTGGGTCAAGGTCCTGTTAGCAAACAAATTAGCCTGCATCCAGAACCAAGATGAACCCCAAAACGGGCCTGCAGGTCCGGCCGTCCTGTTGGGTTGCTGCACGAGGCGCTCAAGCAAAACGGCCCCAGAAACACGCAGAGGTCCGCAGAGTGTCAGCTGGTAAACAGGCATGTTTTATTAAAACATCTGGAGACAAGTCTTTTTCTAAGTACCAGACAGCAGAAAGAGTCCTGAGACAATTAACAGGCTACATAAGTGACCCCCGCGAAGAATAGAACAAACGGAATGGTCCAGCCGCCAGGCGAGAAGGCAGCCTGGGCCGCTCGCCGGGGTCCGATTGGCTACGGGGCCACATCGCGGCGCCATACAGAGCCTCCTGGGAAACGCTGGCGATGACACAGCGGCGGTAAACAGTCAGCGTACAGCCCGAGCGTGACACTGGGTGGAGCAGAGAGGCAGGGGGGTGGGGGGCACGGGTAAGAGGCAGAGAGCAGAGGGAGGTGGAGACGAATGGAAAAAAAAAGGAGAGCAAAGCAGCACAGGCAGAGAGCACAGCAAGTATCAGAGGCAGAGGGAGGGAGAGAAAGAGAGAGAGAGGGAGAGAGAGAGAGAGAGAGAGAGAGAGAGAGAGAGAGGGGGGGGGGGGGGGGGGGGGGAGCACGTGGCACCAAGGAAAAACAAGGCAGTACTGGAGACACAGCGACGTGACGCAGGCTTCAGACCCGATGCTCTGCCCCCCCCCCTCCCCACATCCCCCCCCCCAGAGCTAACGTAGCCTAGTGCTATTGATCTGGGTGGGACGGAGGACACAGAGTACAGGGCACACAGCTGTGCGTTCACCAGTATGGACTCAAAAGCCGCGTCAAAGCCGTTTGATCTGCATAAGGCAATGCCTCGGTAATCCAGTAACTAATGTGTTGTATTATTCATACTTAGAGCAGTAGCAGTAGTAAATACAGTAATTACCGGTTGTCAGTAATATCATAGATGGTAATGTCACAGTTATTATCACAGATATATAGAAGGTGGCCCGCACACACATACAGGGCCTGCACAGAGCAGAACACAAACAGTCCCCACAACTGTCCTTCGCATATCTCGCCACATGGTGGCGCTACTTCGTAGCCTATTAGCAGCGGTTCGGGCTTTTGTTGTATGCTTTCCACTTGAATTAGGGCAAACAGAGATTAATATCTCAATATATAAACAAGCATAACATTCCTTTGCGATGCTCAGTTCGGCCAGTCCCGGAAGCGCACGGTCTACACGCAAATGATAAAATGAAAAATATAAAAACTCCGCCAGTCTATGAGAAACTAACCAGATGGAGAAATGAGTACCTGGGGAACATGAATAAAGCCCGAAATTACAGCCACTTCGACTCATATGTGCCCTCTTTATCAATAAGAAAAAAAACACAAAACAAATATTTACTTTCTAGTAGTGGCATGATCAATTATGCAGGAGAAATAATTATACTCATAAATTATTAGCGATGAGTAAACAAGTTTACAAAGATGACAGTTGAGCGTCGGCCCCTGTAATGATTAGTTGCACGGATATTTTTTGTCATCATATCAGACATTGTTATTAATATTATTGCTATTTAATACTATGACAGTATGGGTGATGAAGACCGTGAAATTATAGAAACCTATATGATTTAACGGTGTAACAACTTGTATTGAAACAACGCCGCTACAAAGTTGCTCTCTCCGTATATGATAATAATAAATGTATGCAATAATAAGAAACACACTGGCGTTTTGGTTACGAATTAACATTAAAGCCAATTAAATGCATGTGATAAAAAACACTGGCGTTTTTATTACGAATTAACATTAACTGTGTTAAATGCATGCGGTTAAAAGGCGTCAGGAAAGGCACACGGAACCGCAACCCGGTTAAAGTTAACCAGCCGGCGACATCGCCCCGCATCTGGGACCATCCCGGGCAGCGTCGGCTCCCCGCTACCGGCTCCCCGCTCCCGGCTACCGGCTACGCGGGTACGGCGCCGCGGTCCGGGCTGTCATGCCGTGAGCACCGGCGCGGCGCAGCCCCGCTTGCACGACAAAGACGCATGAAACGCGGATTTTAAATAAAAAATAAAAGCAAACGTATTACGCGCATCTAAGATAATAAGACAGTATAACACATACCACTGCTGCTCCAGCTCCCAGTCCCTAAAGAAGTCAAACTCGAATAGGTCCATAGCTGAGGAGCCGCTGCCCGCACGCAGCGACCGTGGCTTCCCGCACACTGTACCCCGCCGTACTGTACGTGCTCCGCCGAGCCGAGCCGAGCCGACACACGGCCCCCGCCCCCCGCCACCGCCGCCCACCCGCCGCCTGCCCCGCGTCTCGGCGAAGGCGGAGCTGGGCCAGGCAAGGGTGTGGAGGGGGGCGGCTTATCATATTTAAATAGGCGGAATAACGGTACACCTTCGCCCCCCCCCGCGGCGCCCCCCTGCTGTCAAGATCAGCTGGGCCGAGCCATTGCGGCTGCTGTGCGCCACATAGATAATAGCGAAGGAGGCTTTATTGCGGGGTAGGGCAGAGGATGGGGCGCCGGGCATTTCCCTGACGGGACCCAGCTTCTGTCTGAACATATTTCTCCCAAGGAGCATCGGGCTGACAAACGCTGCTCCTTATATATACATTCATATGTGAGGTTTGTTTGTATGCCAGCGTCCTCCCTGTCAGCAGAGGGTGTCTCAGCCCCGCAGGGAAACCCGCACACAGCGCTCTGTCCGCCAGCCTCGGAAACCTCCAACGGCACCGCCGTGCTTCCCTGAGCTCCCGGCGGGCGCCAAGCGCATCTGCCCACCCGGGTCCCGTCATTCCGGCGAACAGTCACATGGAGGGGGGCTGTTGACGTGAGACAGCGACGCCGACCGCTGGTTCCCGGGCAGCATGTGACCTCTCCGAAGAAAGCTTGCGTGTGTAGGTCCTCGAGTGGTAACGGGGGGGGTATGGGTGACGCAGCCGTTTATCTGACTGGCCCTCCCGTGCTGTGTTCCGGATCCGCTTCCTGCCAGGCCAATCTCACCTGTCCTCGGTGTGCTCGCCCTGTCCCCCAGCATAATGTACTGTTTATGTCCACATATACTGTATATTTTGAAGCACACTCAGTGATGCAGTTACACTTGTTGGCCCCTAGGGGAACCACCTCCTACCTTTCTACACAGCGTAACAAGGATGTGAGCCAGTACCTTATTTATGATGCCAGTCGTACGACATCACCATCATCATCTTTTTTTTAAATTCAATTTACATGCCGCTTGACAAACATCGTGACCTGAACCTACTGCCATATGAGTGCTCAAAAAGGCCTCAAAGCAAAGGGGCATAAATGCCATATGCAGTGCCGGTGTTTATCATCATTCAAATAACACATTTGCAGGAGGCCACCTATTGGTCAAAAACAGTCACTACACTATGAGAGGCCCCAAAGTGACTTTTGAGTGGGGCCACAGAAACAACACACTGGCCCTTGGTTATGTGACTGGGAGCGATGGGAGGTAGGGGCTGGCAGATCTGATGTCTGTATGCTGGGACTTTGGAGGCCCTGGTCAGGGTATTTTTAGGACAGCATATCCCCTGGAACACGAGCCCTGCTGCCAAACTGCCTGCTCTTTAAATAGAGCCGGGATCCCCACTGACCAGATCAGTCGTCAGACCCAGTGTCTCCTATGAGCACCCCCTAGTGGTCGTCAGACAGGCGTTGTCTCCGCAGAGGAGGAGGAGGTCACCTGTGCTTAAAGAAGGACCCGGTATCCATGCCATCCAGACTGCCGCTGGGCGTGAAGGTCACCCCGCCTGCCAGGTGACTGCCACGGCAGCTCCTGATTGGCTTGTGGCTTGTGGTCGCCATCCCGGCCACGCCTCTGGTTGTACTTGCTGAACGCAGACTGAAGGCAAACATGTAGTATACAATTCAGCCACCGCTCATTTTTTTTTGGTGAAACTGCGCACGTGGACGGTGTTAGCATGAATGACGGCCAAGGGTCCAACTGCAGTGACCGCCAAAGAGGTCAAACCCATCACCCTGCGGTGCCGCCCGGGGACAGCTCCGTTTCCACATGTGTGACGGCCACCGCAGATCGCTCAGTTAATCAAGTCATTAAAGACAGAGGGACAATATTAGAAAACGGCATTAAAGACTCCCCTACTTGGGGGAGGGGGAGCATGACTGTGACAGTGCAGATGTCACAAGGGGGGGCTGGTGAAATTTACAGAGACGTAAATCGGTGGATCGTAGATGGTGCGCATCCGGGTCCTGAAAGTGACGCCACCGCATGGATTGGGGGGAGTACACCCCCCCCCCCCAATTCAGCCTGCTGGCACACGCGACTGGGCCTAAACCCAGCTGGCTGGCCCAGGGAGACAGCGCCTCGCAGCCCAGGAGGAGCCGGGAGAAGGGCGACAGGATGGAGGCACGGAAACAAAGGAACAGCAAGCTTCTGACGTCCGGCAGGATCCGCTGCCTCCATCCTCTCCGAGACGCGTGAAAGTCCAGGGAAAAAAAAATCATCATCATAAATAATTCATTTCAGTTTATTCTTCAGTGGTACAGATCGCAGTGTGGCTGGCTGCTTAACAAAAGGATGTGAAACATCTGAGATTTAAAAGGTTCATTAAAAATAATCTATATAACATGCATATTCTGTTTTATATGCAGTATGTTTTAATCCAATAAGATATACATTTGTAAATGTAAAACATGTATATTAAGAAGTAAAACCATCATATCATACATTTTTTAAAATAACATACTACACCAATTCATTTTATTTCTTTGGAAAATCAGGGTGGAAAAAAAGCAACTGGTCCATAGGAACTAGATAAGTGTTAGAGTCCAGAGTCTTGGTTTGGCCCCCCTGCCATGTCAAACGGGACCACCATGGTGTTACTGCTTAAACTGTCCTCTGGGGGGCGCTCTGAGATCCACGTCCCGTACGAAGCCTGTCGGACTTCAGTTATAGCTCATTATCTATTAAAATTTTATTGTTCAGACATCTTGTTTGCATATATGTAAATAAATAAATAAATAAAAATGACACTTTAGCAGACAGACATTAACGCACCGTGCCACACACTGCTCCCATGAGGAGCACGCTACACCACAATCTGACCAAAAACTGCGTAATTAATGCACTCATCGTTAACTTCATTGATTGCCAGGGAATGGAGTGTCCTGTACTGTTTATTTTTTTGGCAGGGAGGGGGTGGTTCAAGGTTTGATGGTGCTTTCTTGGCTATTTTGTGTAGTTTGTGGGTGAAACACTCCGGCTCGCGGAAAACCGACGGCAGCACTGAGCCCCACGTGCGGCTGCTCTGGACAAACCGCGTCGTGGAGCTATGCAAGTCAAGGTCTTTCACATGTCATGTGCATGACGAATGGGTGCAGCCATATGCTGAAATGTTTATGACAAGGCTCGCACACACATCACTCGCATATAGACACATTTTACCTTTAATAATATGAAAGTATGAAAAAAAAAGTATGCAAGTTACAGTGAATCAGGACTGAACAGCATATTCAGTACTACTGCGTTGGGGGCGCAGTCAGTGGGAGATTTGTTGTTTCTGGGGCCACATTAAAAAAAAATCTGAGGTGTAACGCATTGTATTTGGTTTGCAGTCTCCCCTGGGGGTGGGGTTCAAATCCCTCTTCTGACACTTCTTTGGTTGGGTGGTGTGATGCACAGCAGGCTAGGCCTCTGGGCCTGTGATTGCAAGGTTGTTAGTTTAAATCCCATGCTCAGCAGAACAGCTAACTTGCCACGAGGCCCTTGAGAAAGGCCCTTAACCCCCCGAAATACCCAGAGGGCACAGAATGGACGGCTGACCCTACGTTCAGACCGCAAGCTTTACTCTGACATCTATGTGTGTGTGTGTGTGTGTGTGTCTGTGTCTTAATAAGAATAGCTTGATGGGATACAACTCCAATGTAGTTGTGCACTAACAAATAAAACTTCATTTCAGGTTTTCAAAAAAATCCACCACTTCTCCGGAATGGGAGTGCTGTCGTTGAAAGATTTGCCCTGGGCAGCGAGTTCAGATTCCACCAGGTCCTTCCCGCCCTCTGATGTCGGTGTAAATATAGATTAATGTGTAAAAAGCAGCATGAGATGAACAGCCCCCAGCTTTGCTGCAATGGTTCATCTTTGCAAACAACCAAGCGAGTTCAATAATTTAATTCAAAACCCATTGACCTGAAGAGTACATCTGCACCACCACTTCTAGAACCTTCTGTGATGAGCCAGGGGGAACATACCGTAAAAATTTCCATTCTGACCCAAAAGTTTTCCTGCTTGACATTGTGGCATTAGTCTCATCATGATTGCTTGGCAGTTTTTTATTTGCATGAGAAGTTTCAATGCACTCAAATATGAGTTTTGGCAGTGCTGAGGACTCCATTCATCTCCCAGGACCACAAAACTCCTCACGCAGCCCACTGGACTGTGAATGAAGCTTGAGCTCAAGTCCAAGCCAGGCTGGGGTCCAAGCCAAGTCTAAGCCTCCACCTTATTTATGGTACAAGCCAGGTCTTAGCCCCTGTCTTGGCTGGGGTACAAGCCAGGTCTAAGCCCCCGCCTTGGCTGTGGTACAAGCTAGGTCTAAGCCCCACCTTGGCTGTGGTACAAGCTAGGTCTAATACCCACCTTGTTTGGGGTACAGGCCAGGTCTTAGCCCTCGCCATGGCTGGGGTCCGAGCCAGGTCTAAGTCCCCACTTTGGCTGGGGTACAGGCCAGGACTATGCCCTCACCTTGGCTGGGGTCCGAGCCAGATCTAAGTCCCCACTTTGGCTGGGGTACAGGCCAGGACTATGCCCTCACCTTGGCTGGGGTCCGAGCCAGGTCTAGGTCCTCACATTCTTTGAGCCAGAACTAGGCTCCTGGTTTAAACCAGGACTAAGGCTGCCTTGGCCCACCTAGGGCCACCACTTCTTGCTGTACTCTGGGCTCTTGACCCACCGAAAGGAGGGAAGTAGATTAGGTCATGAAATGGCTCGTTGGTACCCGGAGAACTGGAGTTTAATTAAACAAACCTCATAACGATGATAAAAATGCAATCGATAGTCTTCATCAACTGGCAGAGTAGAAAGGATCATTAATAATGTTTTTTTTTTATTTGAGCATCTGCACGTTTTAATGGCTGTCCAGTGGTCCGTCTTGGAAATCGTTTACTCAAGTACCATTGCACACCACAGCTGGATGGGTCCGAAAAGCAACCAGCAAACCGGCTACACAAAGCTGCAGAAGCGGAGGAGAGA